TTCCAAGCCACTGGGGGTCAGGACTTCAATGTACGAATGGAGAAGCAACACAATTCAACCTGTAACACTGTTGTAATTTTTTTTTTTTCTGGCATGTTTCAAGGTTGAACGTTGGCTTTTTTTCTCATTTGCTTAGATTTCAGTTTTTGTTTCGTTTCATTGAAAACAACTGCTAAGCTACTGGTTTGTAGCTTCAGGTCTTACTTAAGAAGATAATATTCGAATTATCTTTTCAAACACTGAAAGCTTCAATAGGTTTGCTGTTAATTCCCAATTAAAGCAATAAATCAGATATTGAGTGGTCCACGTGGTTAGTGAATGCACATCTATGAAAATGATTTGACACATTGCTGTGCTTCTCTGTGGAAATAGGACAAAAGCCTGAGGTGACTGATAACAAGACTGCTTCCTGGAGGCTAGAGTGAGCTCAGTTAAGAACTGACTGTAAGAACTGACCATTTCGGCCATTGTTGTAAACACTTATCTTTTGGTATTCTTCATTTACAGGAAAGCCAGGTCCTGCTGGTGATCCAGGGTTTAAAGGAATCAGAGGCTTCCCTGGCTTTCCAGGAACAAAAGGCCCTCCAGGTTCCATTTTTGTACTTTGTCTCCTTCCCTTTTCCGAGGGAGGTATGTTTCCTCCTGAGTCTTGACTCTGTATACCTCTGTCTATGAGCCATGACTGCTCTTTACAAGGTAGTGACCAGTTATCCTGTTCTCAGACAGAAATACACAAAAGGGAGGTCCGGTATTTATACCTAATTCAAAGATCTGCCAACGTGGACATCCCAAAGTGATAATTCTCATGACTGTATTAACGTGTTCAGTCTTCACTGTGAATTTAGCTTCACTTCATAACTAGAGTTCGGATAAATGAACACCTTTACCCGAATTACACACATCCGGCCCATAGGCATTGAATGGCATTTTTGAATGGCATTTTTTTTTTTTTCAGGTCCTCCAGGATTCCCAGGAAATCCTGGACCAATGGGTATGAGAGGTAACCAAGGACGTGATGGGATTCCTGGGCCAGCAGGAGAAAAGGGAGAATCGGGTACAACTTGCTCATTATCTGGGATCCACTGGTTTTATTTTGCATGAAATAATTAGTGACACCGTCATCCTTCACTGCTCTGGAGATTCTTCTCTGTCGGAAGGGATGCTTCGATGTGTTCTGGGTGTGGGATAATTAATCTTCCTTCTGTTGCCAAAGTGAAAGTGACCAAGTGCAAATTATATATACGTATATAATGAAATTAACCGCATAGAAAATGCTAATATGCCAAAATTACCTCTTTCAGGTTTGCTGGGGGCACATCCAGGCCCAAAAGGGAACCCTGGTGCTCGAGGTGAGCAGTTCTTTCTGATACACATTTTCGAGGACAGAATCTAATTTAATATGCCTGAAATACAAACTTAACATGTTGCATTAAAGAAGTCTCAATGACAGATAATATAGGATGTTTATACTCTTAGCATTCAATGAAAAAGGCTTAAGTATTACGTTCACGACAAAGTGAATGAATTAGAAACTGTGACCCAATTTTGGAATTTCCTTCTATAAAAGTCTTTAAAAATAAAAAGAGACTGTGTATTTGCTTTGTGTTTGTCATTAGCATGGTTTAAATGAGTCACCTCCTATGTAAAAGGTGGCTTCTCAGTGAGCATGCCTATTATATAATATATATATAATAGCAGTTACTACTGCTATTCTGAAATGCAGTAGTAACACCACCCCTTTCCTACCTCCTATCTTTGTAGGTCCAATTCCAACCCCCAGAGCCCCTTGGGGTTCACACTACTGTTTATACAGGGCTATCCAGTAACTCTCTCAACTTCTCAGACATGGCAGTTTACTGAACATGTCATTCAACGTATATTCAAGATTTTTGTTTGACAGACTGCAATTCTGGATTTCCCCCACCAGCGTTTTATAAGATAAGCAGCTCCTTTTAAGTTTTTCCATTTTGTAGAGAAACCTGACAGAAGAAATACTAGATTATTTGTACCTTTTATTGACCCTTTTCAGCCATGGGTCCTGTGGATAGGAGTATTTTATTAGCAAGGAGGCCTGTCCCTGGTTATCGACACTCACCAGGACCAGCAAGGAGTAGCCCAATGCCACTGAGAAACTCATAGAGAGGCAGAAACATCCTCCAGACTTGCCCGCTCAGCTGCGAAAGCGGACGAGAGCCGTCTTTTTCTGTTCGTTTCTGGATGATTTGATAGTCCTCCTGGTGGAGCTCGATGTCCCCATATCTGTCACAGCCCTCCCTCCCCCGTGAGCATGAAAGCTCTCCCGGTCTCGTTCACAGCCAAGTTTTAGAATTATGGCCAAAAGGAGCATTTCTATTTATTTTCCTGGGCTAATCTCACATTTTAACCGCTTGGAATGAGAACACTTTAGCATTTAATTGGAAATAAAATTTGATATAAAATTATCACATGTAAAGTAACAAAAAAAATCCTCAAAAAAATAACAAATGGCCTAATTATGTAAGTAAATGATTACGTACCTCAGTCCCTTGAAGATAACTAAATATGAAGAAGATATTGAGACTTGGAAGGTGGGAATCCTTTTCAGTAGTTTATTTTCCCAAATCTTAAAAAGAAATCGCATTGTAAAACAAGGAAGCATTTTAATAGAGTCAGATGATAGGACCTGAGACAGCATCTTGGTGCCTCAGACCTCTGAGGCATTACGGAAACTTATCACGCCTTTCTCTTTGTAGGGGCCAAAGGAGACAGGGGCGCCCCAGGCCTGCCTGGCCTCCCCGGCAGGAAAGGAGCAGTGGGAGACGTTGGGCCGCGAGGCCCCACAGGTGTGGCCGGGCTCCCGGGGCCACCAGGGTTTCCTGGTGCACTCGTCCCTGGCCAAAAAGGAAATCGAGGCCCACCAGGCTCAAGAGGAAACCCAGGTAGGGGGTCTACTTTTAAATAAAAGAATGAAAATAACCTTAAAAGCTTTCGATCTTCCCCTCGTGTGGCTTTGCGGCTGCTTTGTCCCTCTGGTCTTCTGCATCTTTCCATCCACACGTGTCTCGCCTGGAGGGCACTAGAGCTGCTGATGTTGTTGAGGCAGAGGAACCTGTTTGGAAAATTAGTAAATACCACGTTAATGAGCCCAAAAGAGAGACATGCATCCATTCGCCAATATTTATTGGGCTCTACCACGTGTCAGGTACGGAGCTCGGCACAGATTCTGCTCTGACAGAACTTCATCAAGGAGAAAGGGTTCTTGCCTCGTGCCAGGTGCTTCCCTGGCAAAATCTCATTCTGTCTTTACCACGATCCCATCACACTCCCAAAGGTGGGGGAACGTTTGGGGTAACGGAAGGGGCAGGGTTTGCACTTGCTTCAAAAGAATCACCCACAGAAGCTGCCAGGCTCCCCGACCGGCAACACTGACAGGCTCTCTGTGAATTCAGGTGAACCCGGTCCCCCTGGACCTCCAGGGAGTCACGTAAAAGGCATCAAAGGAGACAAGGGATTTATGGGCAAGCCTGGCCCAAGAGGACCACCTGGAACTGTAGGAGACCCAGGGCCACCGGGTCACCTGGTAAGTGTGGAAAATTATTTTGACTTCTTACATTCTTCCAAATCGATTTCCAGGGTCGGATGTACGTGAGGCAGCAAAAGCTTCCCATTGGTGATGCTTCTGTGCAGTGCATCCAAGGGAAGACAGAGCCCAGAAGGTTCAAAGACTCAAAGACTCTGAAGCATTGGACAGATCTGGCCTCTAAAAGTTGCTTACGTGGGACCCTTCTCTATGTCATTTCTCACCTTTGCTTGTTTAGTTTCTGAACAAATCCAGTGATGGAAGCTTCAAAAGACACCTA